TGCACCTCGACCCCTCCGCGGGCTCCCCCCGCCCGCCTGGCAAAAGCCGCTTCACGAAGAGGCCGCTCCCTTCTCCGTCCCAGCCGCGCGGCCGGCAGCCCGCAAGGCGTCGGCACGGCACGGTCGCTGCACGGCTTGATTTCTGGAACGGGAAAGGTTAAATCGTTGTTACCCTCTGACCGGCTGGCTGTTTTCAGAGGTTTATCGCTGCTGATAACCCTGAAGATCTTGTACCCTTGTGTGCGTCCCGTTTCTGCCTGAACATTTCCATAGCTGATATTTTATTTTTTTTATTTAATAATTGCCTGTGTCTGTCATGCTCCACAGAAGAGGTGTACGTTTCTGAGCGAGAGGGCAGCGATGCCACTGGTGACGGGACGCAAAAGAAACCCTTCAAGACTGTTTTAAAGGTACCTGGGAAACGCCTGCTGCTTGTTCTGACGAGCGTGACCTGTGCTGGAGGGGAAGCAATTGGCCTTGTGTTTCTAAATGTGAATTTTACACCATTCCTTGCACCTCTGACCAGAAGGATCAGAAGTAGGGTGTCTGCTCGGTCTCTGTAAGGGCAACTTTAATTTGCTTGCAGTGCCATTGATTCTGTTATTTCCTTCCCCTTTTAGGCTTTGATGACAGCAGGAAAGGAACCATTTCCAACTATTTATGTGGATTCACAAAAAGAAAACGAGGTGCTGTAGAGTTAGAGCTCCCTCATAGAAACTGCTGTAATACTCTCTTGTGTAAAGGGACACAAATGCAATCTTTTATCTTCTCTCTCCTTGAATTGCTTTAGAGATGGACCATTATTTCAAAGTCGCAGATGAAAAATGTCAAAAAACTGTGGCACAGGGAACAAATGAAGAATGACTCCAAGGAGAAGAAGGAGGTAGGTTACAGCGGATGCCGAGTTAGAGGACACGTGCCACCTTCCTTTTCAAAAACACTGAACAGCGTTGTGGTCATTCCCACCCCTCCAAAAAAGCTTCAGCTTGTTTCTCGTGGGTGTCATTGGTTTGCACGTGCGTTAGTTAGAACTTGTCTCTTTCACATTAGGACAAGCACGTGGCTGAAACGGGGTGAGGTTTCAGTAGTGGCAGTCTGTTGCCTTTAGACTTTCTGGAGAAAACGTGAAATGCGTCTGTGCATTGTTTCTCACCCTGGCCTTTAATTAGGGCAGGCTTAGGCCTCGGCAGGGTAACATCCAGGCTTTTTATGAGATCTGTGCCTGTGAGCGTACACCATAGTCTCCCGTAATTGTAAAGAGTAGGAATCTTACAAAGCCTGGTTATAGCTATTTAATACACTATTCTTTTTTAAAAACCAGGCAGAAGATCTCTTGAGGAGAGAGAAGAACCTGGAGGAAGCAAAGAAGGTTGTTATCAAGAACGATCCTAGTCTTCCAGAGCCAAAATGTGTGAGTAAGATCCCATGCGCTTGGTACGTGGGCCTGCGTTACAGCGCCTTGTCTGCGCAAAGGATGAGTCTGTCTCTGCTTTGTGGCTCTGGCAGCTGTGGGAGGCCACTGTCTTTTTGCTGTCCGTAAACGTAGCTGTGTTTTCCTGGCTATCTGTGTCCCCTCGTATACAGACTTTGGTCTTTCTCATGCACTTGGTGGGTATCTGGACTTTCCCAGTTTACATACCGGATTTCTCTGTGTCTGTCTACTGGTAGAGACCATATTTGTGTTTGAAAAGGTTCATTAGTTTTGCTTTCGTTATTGTAGCGGTGGAGAATGAAGAAACAGTGCCGGCTGGAGGATGTGATTTAAGTTACCGACACGTGATCTTATTGGGCTGTTTGTAGAGTCCTGCTGGATTCGGTGCAGTCCTTAGCTTGGTTAGCAGCTCTTATGCATGCTGCTGCCTGATGGCTTTTTCTATACGCCCTGTGAGAAGGGTTTCTATGTACGTAGAAAACGGTTTTGACTGTAGCCCTGCACCCCCATGGCTGCCCTTTGGGAAAGGGGCAGCCGGGCCCAGCTCTGCTGCAGTCACAGTCCCTTCTGCACCAATGTGCTGTCCTCGACCGTCTGAGGTGTGACCTGTTTTGAAGGTGCTTGCTGGGTTAATTGTTCTGACTGTAGCCTGCCAGCACCTCAGCTACGTGTCTAGATGTGCCTGTGTCGGACCCAGGGCCTCTGCTGCTTCGGCTGCTCGCTGCGCTCAGCTACGGGATGTCTTTGGAAGCTAAGCCAGAGTGCGTTCAGAGTGCCAGAAAATGGCGTCCTTCCCAAGTCTGCTGGGGATTTAACACACCTTGGGTTTCCAGTAGTAGTACCCCAGTCCTCCAGGTGTGAGCTGTTAGGTGGTTTCGCTTCTCCTTTTGGTCAAATGCAAAGTGGGCTTCTTTAAAAGCTGTTACGGTCCTTAGTTTCTACGTGGCAAAGCGAGCCTGCTAAATAGAAAGGACTCAATGTGAGGTCCGGGTGTGCTGCTGTCCTGGCTAAGCCGCCCTTCCCTTGCTGAGCGGCTGTTCGGTACCGACCGCTGAGCGCGCTCCCCGGGTGGAGCTTTGCTGCGAGTGCTGCTGGGAGGAGCCGTCTGCGGGGGACATGTCACGTATTCTGGGATTCTAAGTAATGATGTGGAAAACGCCATTGAAATGCTGAATCGTTTCTCTATTTGATTGGGTTTGTTCCCTGCTCTACAGGTAAAGATTGATGCTCTAGAGGCTTACAGAGGCCAGAGAGTGAAGATTTTTGGCTGGATTCACAGATTACGGAGGCAAGGTAAACCACAGGCGTTTAGAAGTTACTGAACCTGTACAGAGAGATGGAACAAATTCAGTAGCCTTAAAAATTTGGACACTTAAAATTCTTAATTCTTTTAAACCATCAGTTAGATGTCCTTTTTGGTTTGTCACAGTGGTTGCTACAGCATTGAAAATTCTGCGTGATGTGGGAGCATATAGACATTTCTTAGTTGAAATCTGGTAGGATTTCCAGTTTGGAGGCCAGTCCTGCAGTATTTCTTCAAAAGACTTGTTCTGTGTTTTAAGCTATTCCTGCAGACTGAGGAGTTAACTAGCATCTGCTCGTAGTGAAATCAGCAAACTGGCATTTTAAAGTTACTTAAAGTAGCATAACTTCTTTTAAAAGAAGTTTAGCAAGTCATACTTGTTACCAAAGTGACTGCCACCTTGCTAAGCAGAATACCATTGGTCGGGGCATGGAAGTGCACGGCCGAGGCGTTTCTGGTTCCACGGGTATTTATTCAAATTATGGCTGAAGGGCCTGACTAAGTGGTGGTGGATCTGGATATCATGAGCAGTTTCTAGGAAATTATTTTTGTAATTCGACGCTTGTGTGGAGAGGCGTGTGACGAGGGTGACATCCCTCTCCGTGTTAGGTGTACCCTGGGCCTGTGCCTCCAGCGCTTCCCCAGACAGACGCGCAGTCCCTCAGGGCCAGAGGGACGTTCGAAGTCGTGGTGTGGCGGTGCAATCCCAGCCCTGTTGAGGCTGGAGCAAGCTTTAGTCTTTGATGTCTGCTGAAACTTACTTTAACTTGTTACCCAAGATACAGCTCCATGAAAGGCTTCTGTAACTGTGCTGATGATTCTGTGCTTACCTGGAGCGTCTCTGTTTTTTAAAATGGAAAAATGTGATCACAGTCCTACTGTAATAACCTGCACATCATTGGTTAAGACGTCTTGGGAGTGGGTCTGTTATACACTAATCCATTTGAAAGCTGAGGTTCTTTTTTCTTTCTTCACTTTTTAACTAGGGAAAAATCTGATGTTCGTTGTCTTGAGAGATGGCACAGGTTTTCTTCAGTGTGTCCTTTCCGATGAGCTGGTAAGTTGTGATGATTTAATTCTGTTCTGTCATTAAATAAGGGAAGTGTCCATACCTCATCTGCCTTTTATGTAGACCACTGGAAGTTCTCCCAAACCTACGAGGTTGTCTTACTGTTAAATTGTGTCTCCTACCACTGGAGTTTTTTTTGTCAGTGTGAGAACTGTTTAGAAGTGACTACGAGGTAATCTTGTCTGTGACTCCAGTGCATGTCCTAGGAAAACTAACAATAAAAAATTGCCTTAACTGTGCCTTTGTCTGTCTTTCTCTCTGCAGTGTCAGTGTTACAACGGGCTAATTCTCTCAACGGAGAGCAGTGTTGCAGTGTACGGTACGCTGAACCCTGTTCCCGAAGGCAAGCAGGTACGGGAGTTGGGCTGTTCAGTTCTCCTGCTCTTTAACAGTTGTCGTGGTTTAACCCCATCCAGCAGCTCAGCACCACGCAGCTGCTCGGTCACTTCCTCACAGTGGGATAGGGGAGAGAATCGGAAGGGTAAAAGGGAGAAAACTCATGGGTTGAGATAAAAGCCATTTAATAGGGAAAGCAAAAGTCACACGCTCAAGCAAAGCAAAACAAGGAATTCATTCACTACTTCGCATAGGCAGTCAGCCACCTCCAGGAAACCAGGGTTCCATCATGTGTAACAGTTACATAGGAAGACAAAAGCCATAACTAGGAACATCCCCCCCTTCTTTCTTCTTCCCAGGAACCAACACACCCCGGGGTGCTCAGCCCTGCTGCCAGCACAGATCCCAAACACAGCCCCACACCAGCTGCTGTGAAGAAAACTAACTCTCCCCCAGCCAAACCCAGCACAACATTTTACTGTTTTCCTGGTGGAAGGAGAAGCAGAGGTGGAAATAATTATTAGGTGATTTCAGTGGGAATGTGGTTTAGAGACCAGAACAAACCTCCCAAAGCTGCTGCTGTCACCCACAGTTCAGTGTGTGACAAGTGAACTAGGTGACTGTTCTGCTTTTGCCTGAAGTTGTTTACAACGGATATGTCCCATAGATACTTCCTAGAATATAATAGTGGAAAAATTATGTTAAATAAACAGCAGAGCTTTATTTTCCCTAACAAGAGGTTTATTCAGTTTTTATTTCATGAGGCTAAGAATTTGGGGTTAGCTCTCCTCTTTTACTGGGATGGGTTTGCAGGCTCTTCACCATGTTGTGTGTGTCCTCCAGCACTTGGCACGCATATGAATGAGGCAGGTTACTAAAGGTTGTTTTGTAAAACTTTATTTATAATAGTGGTCTCAGATGAAGGACTGGGCATGTGCGATTTTTAGGTCTTAAAATATGGTGCTGCTTATGTCTGGTGCCTTTCTTATTCCAGTTTAGATCTATAAACCGTTACTGTTCAGAAAATTGTTTGGATCTGGAGTTAGGGCTAAAGCTGTGTTAAGCAGCTGTGCATGAAGGATGGCCCGTAAAAAGGATTCAGACCGAAGGCAGGAGAGGGGCTTTGAGGAACCATTGCCTGTGACAGCAACTCGGTGCACTCATCAGGACGTGCAGGCCTCTGTTGGGGTATTTACTGAAAATTGTTAGAAGAGTTCTGCCTCGGTTATTAAGAGGTGACTGAGAGACAAAAGTTGTGTCTGTGTTGCAGAACTTAACTTGCGATGCAGAAACAGCAAGCAAGCCTAGGCCACGCTTGTTCCGTTAAATCTTGAGTTGCCCTTTTAAGAGATGAGCTCGTGATAGCTGCTTACGGTAACGCCCTTCTTTCCAAAGGAGAAAGCAAAGCAGCAGCGTTGAGATTTAGAGGACAGTGTATGTTTACCCTTGCTAGTCTGTAAGCTTAGCTCTTCCTCTAGATATGTATTCAGATTTGTCATCCACGCCTGCAGTGAGAGTTGTTCTTTTGCATGGATTGGCAATCTGTAATCTCCCGTCTGGTCTCTTGAGTAAGCATGCTGACTCTGGTAAGGTAACAGGGAGAAGAAACACATCCGGGGGGGAAAAAAAAGGCACTTTGGAGTGTTACATTGCTTCAACCAGTGTTTCCAAGATGTCTTGGACAGTATTTGAGCAAAGCAGTCCCTCACTGTGGCTGCCTGTACTGTGTAAAGTAAGGTCAAAGTGTTCAGCTTTTGTGGTGCTTTGCTAATTCAGTTCTCTTGTAAGCCACGTGCTGTTGGCCACTGCTGGCATGTTTTGCAAATGACACCTGGATAGGCTTCATTGTCCTAGTTGTCCCTGCCACTCGGGTCCTGTCCCCAAGAGATTGACCTAAGGTTAGAGAGCCGAGCTCGGTTAAAGTGAATCCACCCCCTGTTGTGTTTGCCAGTCAGAAGTTGGAAAGATTTCCTTCGTAGCTCATACTACTGGGACTCGTAAAAAAAAAATGCAGCCAAACAGGGATAACTTTGGGTTTTAAACAACTTTATGCAGCTTGGCAATCCTAAGTAATTCATAGTATGTTACTGCTCGTAATGTTTTGGACAGTGAAAACACTTCACGTTTTCATGGCTCATCACAACGATAGAATGCTTTTAGTGAACAAACCCACCAGAGTTAAAAAAATCTGTTGATTAGACTTTGAAAATCTGCATTTATACCCTGAAAATACTGTGAATGAAAAAAATACCGTTTTAGGGGACAGAAGCCTGCTGTGACCCACACGGGGGAGCTGGTGAGACCACAAATGGTCTGGTCTGTAGCCAGGAAGCCGGACCGGGCTGAGCCCTGGCATGGGGACCTCCACTTGCCGTACGGCAGCAGATGATAGGACCGGGGAGATGAGCCAGCCTGAAACGTGCTGTTCTCACATTGTGGTGAGGTGCTACCTAGTGCAGAAAGATTGCTCGGGTGTCTCTGACAGACAAATTCTCAAGTACCCATCGTGAGCTAGTTCTTCCTCTGCCATGATGTAGGGAACTTCTTTCAACTTTTTTGATGTTTGCCATCCAGGAGGAGAATGTGGCTCAAACAGTACAAAGAACAAAATACCTAGAGTATTGTACCACAGTCTTGGGTGTGCGTTTTCTTCCAGTAGATGGGAGGACTCTTCACTCTGTGTGTAGTGTTCTCAAGGCATACAGGAATGTTCTTCGTGCCGGCGTGTTGTGTTGTAGCACCATAGAAAATTAACTATATCCCAGCCAAAGCTGGTACCTGGTGTAAGTTACCACAGAATGATTTTGGTTGGGAGGAACCTCTGAAGGTCATCTGGCCCACCCTCTTCTTGAAGATCTGATGTGAGGTCAGGCTGCCAAGGGTCTTGTCCAAGTGTGTTTCTGAATGTCATCAAGGATGGAGACTGCAGTCTGGCTTGGTCTGTGCTCTAGCATTTCACCACCCTGGGAAGAATTTTTTTTCTTATAGCCAATTGAAGTCTCCCTGGCTGCAGCTCGAGGCATTTGTCCTTTTGCTGAACACATCCAAGAGAGTCTGGCTCCATCTTCTCTATAACCACCCATTAAATAGTCGAAGGTCATAAGTAGTTTCCCCTGCTTGGCTTTCTGTTCTTCCAGCTGAATAAACCCAGCTGTGATGTATTGTACTTAAACTAGATGTATCTGGAAGCTTCTAATTATCTGCCCATAGTACTCAATCCCATTTATGTTACTCAGAGACTCATAGGGGGTTACACATGGCACTTCCAAGCATGGTATGACTGACTCACAAAGCTTTGAAAATACTGCAGTTAGGATTTGAGCATCTTTTGTTTAAACTAGATGAAGATCTCTGCCTCGATGCCAGATGGTGACATCCAAGGGGCAAAAAGTAGACGTCTGAAATTCTTGTGTCTCTCCAAATTGGCAGGCTCCAGGAGGCCATGAGCTGAACTGCGATTACTGGGAGCTTATTGGTCTGGCCCCAGCAGGAGGGGCTGACAATCTACTCAACGAGGATTCGGAGGTTGATGTGCAGCTTAACAACAGGCATATGATGATTCGAGGAGAGAATATGTCCAAAATCTTCAAGGTGCGCTCCATGGTAGTACAGGCCTTCAGGGATCACTTCTTTGCCAATGGATATTATGAAGTAAGTATATTTTCCTTTGTCAGCAAATGCCTGCTTTAATGTCCTGACTTCAAGGCTATTTTTTCCTGGAAAAACTGTGTAGACTTTCTAATTGACCTGAAAAAGGGAGCAGGGCGGGGGGGGGAAGCTGTTAGGAAACTATTCTTTGATCGCTTTCATAGATGTGGATCTCAAAGGTGCGTAGACACTTCTGAGCCGTGTAAGCATTACAGGGTGATTCCCAAACAGCCTGCACACCTCTCCTTAGGGCGCGGAAGGACATCAGTCTGAAGCGCTCGTAGGCATGTGTACAAAAGCTTTGCAGGTGGTATTCTGGAAGAGCATGCCTTACATCGCTGCTCTGACGAGTTGTCATCGTTGTCCTTCGTTCTTCCCTCAAGTAACGACACTTGTGTTCTTCACCAGGTCACACCACCGACTTTAGTCCAGACGCAGGTGGAAGGAGGCTCCACCCTATTCAAACTGGATTATTTTGGTGAAGAGGCATACTTAACGCAATCGTCCCAGCTCTACCTGGAGACCTGCATTCCAGCGTTGGGAGATGTTTTCTGTATTGCTCAGTCATACAGAGCTGAGCAGTCCAGGACCCGCAGGCACTTGGCAGAGTACGGAGAGAGTATACGTCTTTGGGTTTTAGTGAATTCATAAAGCAGGGGAGTAGCAGGCAGCTGGGTGACATAATGTACAGTGAGCAGACAGCTTAATACTCAATACTTAATACTTAACACATCAGCAGAATGACTGATCGAAAGTATATTTGGGGGTAATACCTTGTCTCGGTGGGTGTCCAGCTGGTCACGCTGACATATAGTACAGGAAGATCTGGGCGAAACAGAGCTGATATATTTTTAGGAAGCTTTGCCTTTTTAGAAAATACAGTTCATTCTGTTGTCTTCCTTATATTTTTTTTATGGCTTTATTTCCTTTAAGGTGTAGAAGTGGGAGGAATGAAAAAGGGGAGCAGTGTGTATGTTCTTGGGTTGTGGGGTTTTTTCTTATGAGAATTTTTCTCATAGCTAAAGGTTTGGTGCTTGTGTGTGGCTTTGTAATGGTGTGACATTGTGTTTCAGGTACACTCACGTCGAAGCTGAATGTCCTTTTATAAGTTTTGAGGATTTATTGGATCGCCTGGAGAACTTGGTTTGTGATGTAGTAGACAGAGTCTTGAAATCACCTGCATCAAGCTTACTGCATGACCTAAACCCGGTAGGCAGCAATGTGGAACAGTCATGAATAGCCAAGAAAAGATGATCTTTTGCCTTTTCCGATCAGCGTGTTCATCTGGGGGAGGCAGGGCATGGCAGTGAGCTCTGCGTGCTTACTCTTAGTCATAATAAGAAAAATATTAAATAACATCAAAAGAACGAAAATGCTGCCAAGCTGGTAATGACTCTTCAGAAGCAGGGGACTGTGGGGAAAGAAGTTCCCTGCTAGCAAGTTCCAGGAGCCAGCAACGTGCTGGGATTTATGGCAATGTGTGCTGTACCAGTGGAATAAAAACCTCTATCCCAGAGCTCGTAATATTGATCGGCTGGTACTTGCAGATTGAGCACAAGGGAGCAATGAAACAACGGGTGGTTTACTTTCTGCCCTGGAACGGGGAGCCCTGTAAAGCTATTTTCATTTGTTAGAGACCCTTTGTCTTCTGCTGCCTTTGCAAAGAAGATGGCTTTGAGAGGCTGCTAACTTTATCTCCATCGCCAGCTTTTCTCTTGGGCACATACAAACTCAGTGCTCCCTGTCATTTTGAGCTGTTCTCCTGATAAATACTGGGAGGTTCAGTTTTAAATTTGGGCTGAGCAGGGGGCAGGAGGCAGGAAACAGCAGAAGCACAACCCGCCTCACAAAGGCGTTCTGGAGCGGTTCTGGGCACAGGGAAGCAAAAATGTCCTTTTGTGGCCTTGTGCATGGAACCTGCGCTTTGCGCTAATGGCTCCGTTTGTGACGCCTACGTGTGCGATGAATTCATACAGAAAGGGAACGGCTGTGAAAATACTTCCGCTCTTCTCTCTCCTGCCATCTTTTTCAGCATCTGCTCTGTGAGCTCTCCTGGGCTTGGAAGGTGGTTGTGTTTCATTCTAGCTTTTCAGTACTGAGCTTGGATTTTTTTGGTTTTTGGTTTTTTAAGTAATAATTTGTTGATGTATGAGCTGGAGAGAGTAATGTGTATGCTACAGGTCTGGAAGTGGACTCGCTGATCAACTAGAGAAGTAGTAGTCTTTAAAATGGTACTCTTACCCCTGTCTCTGTTACTCTTATTTACAGGGCTTCAAGCCCCCTAAACGTCCTTTCCGACGAATGAACTATTCTGAAGCCATTGAGTGGTTAAAGGAACACGATGTGAAGAAGGAAGATGGCACTTACTACGAGTTTGGGGAAGTAAGTCTTTCTGAGGCCCTGTGCTAAGGACGTACAAGTCCCTTGAAGAACAGTGTGTTTGGACCGTGATGCTGCTAGGCTTACTGCTGCTGTGTGCATCTGTTGTGTTTGTTTGGAGTGATGCGACAAGGAGTGCAGTTCGAGTCCCATTTAAGTTGAAGGGAGTTTTGCTATGACCTTTAGTGAGGCCTGGATTTTTGTCTGAGCTGTGCTGGGGGGTGTAGCAATGTCCTTTTGGGGAGTGCAAGTGTGACTTGGCTTTTCACATCATGTCTTGGAACATTGGAATCAAAATCCATGCTGTCATCTGTCCATCTGTTCCCTGTCTGGCTCCTCTCCACCATGTAAGAAGGGTTTGAAGGAGCGCAAGAAGACTTGGTGGTGTAGCCATCGTCACCAAAGGATTTGAGAAGTGAGATTTTTTTAGGAGGAGATCATGTAACTTTAACTTCAAAGTCTACACAGCATATTCAGAGGGAGCCTTGGCAGCTCAAAGTCAGCTGTGTTGGGTTTCTGTCTTTGTTTGATACATGTGGAACTCGAGGTGTTGGAATGGGTTCGGTTTTAAATATTAATAAAGCCTTCTTTAACCGTAGGATATTCCTGAAGCTCCCGAGAGGCTGATGACAGACACCATTAACGAGCCCATCTTGTTGTGCCGCTTTCCTGCAGAGATAAAGTCTTTCTATATGCAGCGCTGTCAGAATGATTCCCGGCTGACTGAATCTGTAAGTTGGTATTTTACGTAGCGTTGCAGGCTCCGAAGTAGAGTGGGGAATGTCAGCATGGGTGAGCATTAAATAAATAAGTACTCCAGGAAAATCTTGGAGAATTTCTTAGCGGGTTTTGGTTTGGGTGCCTCTTGGCATGATTTGTTGATCCTATAGAAATAAAGGAAGCAACTCTGAAGTGCCAATAAAATGTCGGTAGTTTGTAGTGAGCATGCTCTTCTCTGACCTCAGGTAGGTGCTGGTCTAATGACAACACTTCTGTGGCTTCTGGGAGACCGTGCTGCCTCAGCGCTGGCCGTGTGCCAGCCGGGAAGCAGTGGTTGCTAGGAATTCTGCTGGGTTTGTGGGGTTTTTCTATTTGTTTGTTTTTCACAGTTGAGTGTGGCCAAGAGTATTAGAGATCACGTTAGAGCACCTGGTCAGGTAGTTTATTCCCTCTGTAAATTGGGTCTGGAAGGAATTGCCTGTCTTCCTGTCGCAGAAAATTAAAATTACATGGTAAAATGTGTTACGGAAATACAGTTTAAGTTTGGGCTGTTGTTCTTCCCCCTCCTGCAGGCAGGTTAATTGTCACTGTTTGATCTCCTGTTGTTGTAGGTTGATGTGTTGATGCCTAATGTTGGGGAGATTGTTGGAGGCTCTATGCGTATCTGGGACAGCGAGGAGCTACTCGAAGGCTACAAGAGGGAAGGCATTGATCCCACGCCGTACTACTGGTATACTGATCAGGTTTGTAAAACAGATTAGATATGCTTCTTGTCAGATATCATACCTGATTTTTTTTTTAATTGCTCTTAAAATGACGTGGTCTAAATTGGAAAGGTGTTTTTGGTGGCCCAGAGTAGCTAGTCACTTGACCGTTGGCAAAGCGTGATGGGTAATGGTTGCCATGCTGTTAAAGTTGCTGCTGTTTGCTGCCGTTGCATGCTGCCATTGCCAGATCGCCTTCGCTGGGCTGCTCCGGGCGGGGGGCGTCCCTCTCATAATGTCTTCTGCAATGTCTGTGAAGCCCTTGCTGTTAGATAAAGAGGGGTTGGCCTTTACAAGGCCAAGCTAAGCTCTAGCTAGTGTGAGGGGAGGAGCAAAGGAGTGGTTGAAAAAGAATGGCTAAGACTTTCCTTTTCACCTTCCTTTTTCCTCTTTCTGTCCTTACTCTGCCCCCGGGAAACTCAGGACAACTGAGCACAAGTATCTTGCCTGGAAAGAGCATGGTCCATTTTCCTCAGTGCTCAGAAAGTAATCTTGAAGGGGTTGTGTTTTTGGTTTTTTTTTTTCTTTTTTTCCTGGTGGTATTACTGCAATTACCATATAAATAATAACAAAATGTTTAATATCTACTTTCTGATTTTGATTTCACAGAGAAAATATGGTACGTGCCCTCATGGTGGATATGGTTTGGGATTAGAACGGTTCCTAACCTGGATTCTGAACAGGCACCATATCCGAGATGTCTGTCTCTACCCACGCTTTGTCCAGCGCTGCAAACCTTAGCCATCCGTGTGATAAACTCCCAGAAAATGGAGCAACTGGTGCCTGATCAGGAATGATACACGCTGCTCTACTACAGCCTGTCTGAGAACAAGACTTGCCGCAACCTGTTGCTAATACAAATACTAATTTAGAGTGTGAAAAGGGAAAGAAACAACCCCCTTTTTTAAGGAAAATACTACTAATTAACTGGAAGAAGCCTGAGAAAAAATTGTTAGGCACATTTATGCGCTCAAGTCAACATAAATCAAAGATCCCTGTAAGCTGTCATTTAAAAAACCAGATGCGCTTCTGCTTTTAATTTCTGTGACTTAAAAGAAAATATGCTGGCCACTTGAGTGGTGTTTTGGGTTTTTTTAAATTTGCATTAATTTTAATTTGTTTTCTCTTGTGGTTTCTTGTTGGAGAAATCAGGAGTTCAAGCTCTTTACATTCCCAAATACTGACCTCTGAGGGCGGTATGAAAAGATGGCATCTAAGGAGCCCAGCCAAGTATAAAAATGGGAATAATGATTTTAAGCGCTGCAGTTTCTAATCTCCTGCTGTTTTAGTGGATGTTCTGTTTGAGTTTACTCAGCAGCAAGGTATGTAGGATTGAGCACGGAATTCCACTGCAAGAGACATGGGTTGGGGTTTTTTTTCCCAAATTCTTGGTTAAAGTGGTGAGGCTGATGGTGAGGTCTGCTTGCAGCAGGCTTCCCGATAGCTGGGGATGACGCGCCGCAGCGGGTCCATGCACACCCAGCCCACGCTGCATTACAGTAGGAGGGGACGTTGTTAGCTCCTGGGCACTGGGATCTTTGTGTGCCTTCCAAATTGAGACTCTGCCTTCTGTTTCAAAGCAGAAATGGCTGATTGAAGACCCAGAGACAGTGGTAACTTTGAAATCCAGTTGGATTTCAGCGTTGTACACTGACTGGCTTGCTGTCCTCTCCAGGTGAATTGTAGCTCAAGCAGGGTGTTCCCAACTCACGCTGAGGTATGTTTTCATAGTAGAGCAGTTCCATGTTTCCTAGCTGGCTCCGTGCTCTCTTGTGCTGCTGCATCCGAGCAGATTCTCTGGCTGTAATCAAGTTACCAAATACAATTAATTAAATATTTTGGGTTGAGCCATCTGTATGCTTTTTAGTCATAAATAGAGCAGTCCATATTACTAGAGAGAAAAAAAATTGGCAGGTGCATCCCTTGCTACCTGCACTGAGACTTGATCTGGATCTGCCATTCCTAGAATTGTTGAGCTGTGCAGTACCCATATTTTTGTAAGAAGTGTTTGGTTTTCCTCATCTTGCATGTTATGTCTATAAACTGGTCTAAATCAGCAACCAATAAATTATGGCAACACAAGGTGGTGTGCAGGATGGTAGTTCTTGACCCGTAATGTCCATTCCTTTCCTTTCACTTACGCTTTGTAGCTTATTTGCTTAATACAGTCTGTGCTGCCATAGGCAGCATCTGTGCGGGCAGAAGCACAGGAACAGTGAATTTTCAAGTGCAGAAACACTTACCCCAAAAACCAGAACTAGCTTTTTTTTCTTCTTAAACTCAATCCCCATTAATTAGGGGCTGACTGAGGTCTGAGGTGGTGGGTGAGAATTCTGCTGAGAATGACCCCAAGATTAAAAAAAAAAAAAAAAAAAAAAATTTTTTAAAGGGTCTGCAGCTTCTTTAGTGCCTAACTGCGCAACCCTAAGCGATGCCCAAGTATATATTTTATTTAGCATGCCCGCTTGCAAAGAAAACCTTCCCAACGTAAGCCTGGTGCGCTGCAAGGCATCTTAGTTTTGCTTCAGAAAATTAGATATTGGGGCTTTTTGCTTGTTTTGATGATGGGGGTGCCTTCATCTCTCATGTCTGAGCCCCTGTGGTAATGGTCATAGAATCACAGAATGGTTTGGGTGGGAAGGGACCCCCAGAGGTCACCCAGCCCAACCCTCCTGCAGGAGCAGGGACACCTTGAACCACATCAGGTTGCTCACAGCCCCGGCCAACCTGGCCTGGAATGGTCCCAGGGATGGGGCCTCCACCCCCTCTCGGGGCAACCCCTGCCAGGGTTCCACCACCCTCAGGGTAAAGAATTTCTTCCTTAGATCCAGTCTAAACCTGCCCTGCTTCAGTTTAAAGCCATCCCCCCTTGTCCTGTCCCAGCTGGCCCTACTAAAAAGCTTGTCCCCCCCTTTCCTCTGGGCCCCCTTGAAGCCCTGACCGGCCGCACTCAGCTCTGCCCGCAGCCTTCTCTTCTCCAGGCTGAACACCCCCAACTCT